CCTGCGGTCTGGAGAGACCCGGGTTCGGTTCCCTCTAAGGGCGCGTACCTCGGTTGCAGTTTGTCCCCGGCCCTTGTCGGTTGTGTGGGTGGCAGCCACTCGATGTGTTCCTTTCACGTCGATGTTTCTCTCTCTCTCTGTTCCTCTCTCTCCCTCCCACTCTACCCGAACAAAAAAATGGAAAAATATCCTCGGGTGAGGATAAAAAAAAAATAACAAAAAAAAAGATACCTAGGAATAAACTTAACCAAAGAAGTAAAGGACCTATTTGCATAAAAGTACAGGACATTGAAAAAAGAAATAGAGGAAAATATAAAAAAGTGGAAGCACATACCTTGTTCATGGTTTGGAAGAATTAACATCATTAAAATGTCCATACTATCCAAAGCAATTTATAGATTCAATGCAATCCCCATCAAATTCCAATGACATATTTCACAGAACTAGAGCAAACACTTCAAAAGTTCATATGGAACCAAAAAAGTCCCCGAATAGCCACAGCAATTTTGAATAAGAAGGACAAAGTAGGTGGGATCACAATACCAGATATCAGGTTATACTACAAAGCGACTCTAATCAAAACAGCCTGGTACTGGCACAAGAACAGGCATATAGATCAGTGGAACAGAACTGAAAACCCAGAAAGAGACCCAAGGCAATATGCTCAATTAATATTTGACAAAGGTGGCAAGAGCATACAGTGGAGTAAAGACAGCCTCTTTAATAAACAGTGTTGGGAAAATCGGACAGCTACATGCAAAAAAATGAAACTAGACCATCAACTTACACCATATACAAAAATAAACTCAAAATGGATAAAAGACTTAAATGTAAGTCATGAAATCATAAAAACCCTAGAAGAAAATGTAGGCAACAAAATTTTGGACATCATACGCAGCAGAATTTTCACTGGTACATCACCTAAGGCATCAGAAACAAAGGAAAAAATGAACACATGGGACTACATCAAATTAAAAAGCTTCTGCACAGCAAAAGAAACAATCATCAAAATGGAAAGGCAACCCACTGTATGGGAGAACATCATTGCCAATTATATATCAGATAAGGGGTTAATTTTCAATATATATAGAGTGCTCATACAACTCAACAAAAGGAAGACAAAGAACCCAATTAAAAAATGGGCAGAGGAGCTAAATAGACATCTCTCCAAACAGGACATACAAATGGCCAAGAGACATATGAAGAAATGCTCAACATCACTAATCATCATAGAGATGCAAATTAAAACAACAATGAGGTATCACCTCACACCTGTCAGAATGGCCGCCACCAACAAATCATCAAACAACAAGTGTTGGTGAGGGTGTGGAGAAAAGGGGACTCTAGTGCACTGCTGGTGGGAATGCAGACTGGTGCAGCCACTATGGAAAACAATATGGTGTTACCTCAAAAAATTAAAAATTGAACTTCCATTTGACCCAGTGATCCCACTTCTAGGAATATATCCTAAGAAGCCTGAAACACCAATCAGGAAGAATATATGTACCCCTATGTTCATAGAAGCACTATTTACAATAGCTAAGATCTGGAAACAGCCCATGTGTCCATTAGTATACAAATGGATTAAAAAGCAGTGGTACATATACACAATGGAGTACTAAGCAGCTGTAAGAAAGAAAGATCTCTTATCCTTTGAGACGACATGGAGGGACCTGGAAAGTATTATTCTAAGTGAAATAAGCCAAGCAGAAAAAGTCAAATACCACGTTATCTCACTTATATATGGAATATAATGAACATAACAGTCTGAGGAATACGGTAGACCCAGAAACATGGAAGTAGGGCACAGACTGACATCCCTCAGAGGAAGTGGTGGGGGTGAAAAGAGATAAACCACAGAACGTATATGCATGTATGCATAAGCAATGGACATGGACAACAAAGCCGGGGTCAGGGCGGGGTGCAAGATGGGGAGGGGGGTGTCAATGGGGTAAAAAAGGGAAACATCTGTAACCAAAAAAAAAAAATTGAAAATTAAATTAAATAAAAAAATCTGGGCTTGGAAATAATAACCCATTTGAAGGAGGGAAGTTCTGAGAATAGCCAATACATTTTTGAAAAATAATACTAGTGAGAAAGAACTGGCCCTGAAGTTGGTAAACCTGACTGTGTACACTTGGTAATCATAACAGTAGGGTCTTGGTGTAGGGGGCAGAAAAAAATCGGTGAAAGAGAAAGGGATCTAGCAATGACTCAGGAGCATTCAAAGTCAACAGACCTAGGATCCTCTTCCCCTCCACTGTCAGTGAACATAGACTTCAGAAGGATTGCAGCTCTAAATATGTTTGTGTAATTATGAGATACTATAAAACTCAGGGGAGCATTTGAATAACTCTTGAGTAGAGATTACAAGATAGGAAACCTAGAAGTTAGGAGGGAAAAGAAAAACTGGTATCATTGGTTCCCTAGAAATAAAAATATTTCACAAGGACTGAGCTGCCACCAGACAGGCTGTAGCTCTGGAACGTGTGCTTGGGGCAGGGTAGTGTCCTCAGCAGACCAGGTCTTCCTGCAGTTCTTTTGGGGGGCTTATTAGCTGGGTGAAATGAATAAAAATTCAAATAAGAGGAAATACAGATAGACATTAAGCGTTATGTTCAACTCCAGTAGTAGATATGGAAATGCAAATGATTTGTTTTTTGTTTTGTTTTATCCTCACCCGAGGACATTTTTTCATTTTTTGTTCAGATAGAGTGGGAGGGAGGGAGGGAGGGAGGGAGGGAGGGAGAGAGAGAGAGAGAGAGAGAGAGAGAGAGAGAGAGAGAAACGTCGATGTGAAAGGGACACATCAAGTGGTTGCCACCTGCACGACCCAACCAGGGCCAGGGACAAACTGCAACCGAGGTACATGCCCTTAGCGGGAACCAAACCTGGGTCTCTCTGGATTGCAGGCCGACGCTCTAACCGCTGAGCCAAACTGGCCAGGGCGGAAATGCAAATGAAAACAAACCATTTTTCTCCTATCAGCTTGGCAAAATTCTGAAACTTTTTATAACATCTAGAGCTGACAAGGATATGGGGAAATTGTACTTTCTTCTTTTTTTTTATCCTCACCTGAGGACATTTTTGCATTTATCTTCAAATAGAGCAGGGAGCTGAGAGGGAGAAAGAGAAAGAGAGAAACATTGACATGAGAGAGACACATCGACTGGCTGCCATCCACACGACCCCAACCAGGGCAGGGGACAAACTGCAATTGAGGTATGTATCCTTAGCGGGAACTGAACCCGGGACTCTTCGTTCCGCGGGCTGATGCTCTAACCGCTGAGCCAAACTGGCCAGGGCGGAAATTGTACTTTCATACATTGCTTGTGAGAGTATGAAATGCTGTAACCTTTTTGGAAAGTTATCTCTTGATATCTGGTGAAATTAAAAATATACCTATTCTTTTATCCAATAATTTCACAATGGGTTTTGTATCTTTGTTGAATAAATGAATCTATCTCATAGAATCAGAGTGTCCATATTTTGGAATGTAAATGTAGGGATGCCCATTTGCATGTGCATCAGTTTGCAACACTTCTGTTTATAACCCACAGCGCATGAGGTTCTATGCATTTTCAGCTCCATTATAAATGAAAAGTTATTTTATTTGGTCACAAGAAACAAAGCCAGTAGCAATACTCATCATTATGGCTATGGATGCATATGTATATATGTGTGCATGGATGGTCAAATTCTGAAGAGCCGAACATTGATTTCCAGAGGGGTTCCCATTAATACTAATAACTGACCACCCTAAAATATAGCTCTTGAAACAATAGTAACAGCCTCTTTCTGCTCACAAATCTGCAGTTTGGCTGGGCTGGAGGGCATCTGCACCCTTGTCCACAGAGCCAGAGCGGAGTCCTGGGGTGGGCTCCTCAGTCACAGCTGTGGTGTCAGTGATGGGAGACTCAGGCAGCCAAGCACGGGGTTATTGTGCTGCCTCTGCCCCCCTGTTCTCTCATGTGTCCTCTCAGTGTGTTGTCACACAACACAGGTGGGAGTTATGTCACCTTTTGTGACTTGGCCGCGGAAGTCATATCGCATAATTCCTGGTACACTGTGTTCGTTGGGCAGTCACTGGCTATCAGGCAGGGATAGACTGACTCTTTTCCAGAAGCAGTAAGGACTGGAGGAGATAGTGGGGCTGGAGTCTTGCTGGCTATTTTTATGAGACGTTTTGAACCAAAGGCTAAATTAAGCTGATTATTTTGATGACATACAACTGAAGGCTTGGCATCGTGCTGTTCTCAAATGTCAGCAAATGAGGACTCAGACAACATCGGGGGTTTTGTTTAATGACCTTGCATACTCGTACCCCATTTCTTTACCCATCACACTATGTCCTGAGGGCCTGTGTTGTCAGGGGCAGTAGACATGAGAACCATGGTCATGGAGAGCTGTCAGCATTTTGGGAGTGGAGACAGTGATCAGGTGTCACAGGCTGAAGCCATTGGATCAGAGTCTGAGCATTGTGGTCTGTTGTCATCATTATCATCTATGCCTCTCTCTTCTCTTTCTCCAGCAGTCCACTTCTTTTCTGCTTGTGTCTAAGAATGACTGGTGACACCCTTGTGATTGCTTAGTGGGCTTTTTCTCACTGAGTGTGCTGACACCATGGGCAGTACTAGGAAAACTGACTTGGGTCATTTCAGACTCAGGATATATTAATGGTGCAGAAATACGCTTTCAAAGGACCTTCTCTAGAGAGCCTGCCTGAGCAGCTGCATGTGTTGCCTATGGGGCTCTGGATTGGGCTGTGTGATGGTCACCTTTCTTCAGAATTGCTGGGTGCTCTACAGAGAGAGTTGGAAGTGGACATTCATGGCTGCCCCTTGATCTCCTGACTTGGGTTTTGGGGTGTGAGGACCAGAACACGGTGTGTGTGCTCAGATCTTTGTTTTTGGTACAGTGCATGCTGTTTAAAATGAGTTTTTTCACAGTTGGAAAAGCAAATGGTTGACACAAGATATACCTATGAAATTGTGTTTCAGGAGTGGATCCATCCCTCCAAGCAGAGCCTAGGACCCCTGGGCCCTCACAAACCACAGCTGCAGCACTCAAGCAGCAGAAGCCGAGGCCCACCAACTCGAGGGATGAGCGCTTCCGGTCAGGTAGGGACCAGAGGCAGCAGGCCTCCACTCATGGACTCTAAGTCTTTGGGTTATTTTTTTCTTGCTAAACATGTCTGCTGAAGAACTTGAATGATAATTGACCACATCATATTTTTCTAGAAAAAAATTTAACCTTTATATAACCACAGTATGTTTTAGTGTAGACAGTACTGTAAATGCTCGCTTCTTGGGGGATGATTATAAAACTTACTCATTCAAAGTAGTTCTTTAAACATTTTGTCCATTTTTCTATTTAGAGCTTTGAGGTTGGTATTCATTGTACATATGGAGCAGCTTTACCTACCATACATTTTTCTTTTCTAATTTTGGAGATTTACTTCTAATTTGATTGCCACTATTTCAGTGCTTTTATGAATATTTAAATTTGTCTCTGATATTTTATTGAATAATCAGAATACCCATTGAAAAAATTTGTATTCAATTATCAACTACATATCAATAACTTGAGCACTCTGTTTCACCTATTTAGCATTTTCACCACATGTGATTGTGTATTTCCTTTATGTTTAAGCTCTTTTAATAAGCCTTTTTTAATAAAGAAAAACTTTCAACAGAAATAAAGAAATAGAGATTTAAAAAAATCTTTATTGTTGAAAGTATTCCAGATGTCCCTCCTTTTTTTCCCCATTGACATCCCCCTCCCGGCTCCCGCCCCTCCCCTGTCTTTGTCACATTGTTGTCAGTGTCCAATGGTTATGCATATATGCATATAAGTTCTTTGATTTTTCTCTTCCCACCCCCTAGCCCCCTTCACTCTGAGGTTAGTCAGTCTGTTTCCTACTTCCATGTCTCTGGATCTGTTTTGTTCAACTGTTTATTGTGTTTGTTATATTCCACAAATAAGTGAGATCATGTGATACTTGTCTTTCACTGACTGGCTTATTTTACTTAGCATAATACTCTCCAGGTCTCTCCATGTTGTCTCAAAGAGTAAGAGATCTTTCTTTCTTACAGCTGCATAGTATTCCATTGTGTAAATGAACCACAGCTTTTTTATCAACTCATTGACTGATGGATACTTGGGCTGTTTCCACATCTTAGCTATTGTAAATAGTACTGCTTTGAACATAGGAGTATATATACTCTTTATGACTGGTGTTTCAGGCTTCTTAGGATAGATTCCTAGGAGTGGGATCACTGGGTCAAATAGCAGTTTCATTTTTATTTTTTGAGGAAACATGAAATTGTTTTTCATAGTAGCTGCACCAATCTACATTCCCACCAGCAGTGTACTAGAGTGCCCCTTTCTCTACATCCTCACCTGCACTTGTTTGATGATTTGTTGATGAGAGCAATTCTGGCCGATGTGAGGTAATGCCTCACAGTCGTTTTAATTTGCATCTCTCTAATGATTAGTGATGTTGAGAAGTTTTTCATATGTCTCTTGGCCATTTGTATGTCCTCTTTGGAGAAGTGTCTATTCAGGTCTTCTGCCTTTTTTTTTTTAATCCTCACCCAAGGAGGAGGGAGAGAGGGAGGAAGAGAGAGAGAGAGAGAAACATCAATGTGAGAGAGACACATCAACTGGTTGCCATCTGCACAACCACAATAGGGTCTGGGGACGAACTGCATTTGAGGTATGTGCCCTTAGCAGGAACTGAACCCGGGACTCCCTGGTCTGTGAGCTGATGCTCTAACTGCTGAGCCAAACTGGCCAGGGCTCCTCTTGCCATTTTTAAATTGAATTGTTTGTCTTCCTTTTGTTGAGGTGTATGAGAACTTTAAATATTTTGGATATTAACCCCTTATCTGATGTATCATTGGCAAATATATTCTCCCAAAGAGTGGGTTCCCTTTTCATTTTTATGCTGATTTCTTTTGCCACACAGAAACATTTTAGTTTGATGTAGTCCAATTCATTAATTGTTTCCTTTTTATTTAATTAATTTATTAATTTATTTTTAAATTTAATTTTTGTTACAGATGTTTCTCCTTTTTTTTCTTTTTATCCTCACCCGAGGCTATTTTTCCATTTTTTGTACAGATAGAGTGGGAGGGAGAGAGAGTAAGGGAGAGAGAGAGAGAAACATCGATGTGAAGGGACACATCGAGTGGCTGCCACCCGCACGACCAACCAGGGCCGGGGACAAACTGCAACCGAAGTACATGCCCTTAGCGGGAACCGAACCTGGGTCTCTCCGGACCGCAGGCCGATGCTCTAACCGCTGAGCCAAACTGGCCAGGGCTGTTTCTCCTTTTTTACCCCATTGACACCCTCCTCCCCATTCCCCCTGCCCGGTCCCCAGCTTTGTTGTCCATGTCCATTGGTTATGAATACATACATATAAGTTCTGTGGTTTATCTCTTCCCACCCCCCACCACCCCCTCTTCTGAGGGTTGTCAGTCTGTACCCTACTTCGGTGTTTCTGGCTCTACCCTATTCCTCAGACTGTTATGTTCATTATATTCCATATATAAGTGAGATCATGTGGTATTTGTCTTTTTCTGCTTGGCTTGTTTTACTTAGGATGATACTTTCCAGGTCCCTTCATGTCGTCTCAAAGAATAAGAGATCTTTCTTTCTTACAGCTGCTTAGTACTCCATTGTGTATATATACCACTGCTTTTTTATCCATTCGTATACTAATGGACACATGGGATGTTTCCAGATCTTAGCTATTGTAAATAGTGCTGCTATGAACATGGGGGTACATATATTCTTCCTGACTGGTGTTTCAGGCTTCTTAGGATATATTCCTAGAAGCGGAATCACTGGGTCAAATGGAAGTTCAATTTTTAATCTTTTGAGGTAACACCATATTGTTTTCCATAGTGGCTGCACCAGTCTGCATTCCCACCAGCAGTGCACTAGAGTCCTCTTTTCTCCACACCCTCACCAACACTTGTTGTTTGATGATTTGTTGGTGGCGGCCATTCTGACAGGTGTGAGGTGATACCTCATTGTTGTTTTAATTTGCATCTCTATGATGATTAGTGATGTTGAGCATTTCTTCATATGTCTCTTGGCCATTTGTATGTCCTGTTTGGAGAGGTGTCTATTTAGCTCCTCTGCCCATTTTCTAATTGGGTTCTTTGTCTTCCTTTTGTTGAGTTGTATGAGCACTCTATACATATTGGAAATTAACCCCTTATCTGATATATCATTGGCAGTGATGTTCTCCCATGCAGTGGGTTGCTTTTCCATTTTGATGACTGTTTCTTTTGCTGTGCAGAAGCTTTTTAGTTTGATGGAGTCCCATGTGTTCATTGTTTCCTTTGCTTCTCTTGCTCTAGGCAGTGTATTGGTGAAAATTCTGCTATGTGTGATGTCTGAGATTTTGTTGCCTACATTTTCTTCTAGAGTTTTTATGATTTCATGACTTACATTTAAGTCTTTTATCCAGTCTGAGTTTATTCTTGTGTATGGTGTAGATTGGTGGTCTAGTTTCATTTTTTGTGCATGTACCTAATTTTCCCAACGCCATTTACTAAGAGACTGCCTTTACTTCTTGTATGTTTTTGCTTCTTTATATTGAGCATAATGCCTTGGGTCCATTTCTGGGTTCTCTCCTCTGTTCCGTTGATCTGTGTATGGCTGTTCTTGTGCTAGTGTCAGGCTGTTTTGATTACAGAGGGTTTGTAGATAACCTGATATCTGGAATTGTGATCTCTCCGACTTTGTTCTTCTTTTTCAAGATTGCTGTGGCTATTTGAGGGCCAGGGCTCTTTTTTTTATTTCATATTAACTTTTGAAGTATTTGTTCTAGATCTGTGAACTATGTCATTGGTATTTTAATAGGGATTGCATTGAATCTTTAGATAGCTTTGGGTTGTATGGACATTTTAATGATGTTGGTTCTTCTAGTACATGAACATGGTACATGCTTCAACTTTTTTATATCTTTTTCTGTTTCTTTTTTCACTGTCCTGTAGTTTTCTGAGAACAGGTCTTTTACTTCCTTGATTAAGTTTATTCCTATGTATCTTAATTTTTTTGTTGCAGTGGTAAATTGGGTTGTTTATTTAGTTTCTCTTTCTGAGTGTTCATAAGTGGTGTATAAAAATGCTATCAATTCTGGATGTTAATTTTGTATCCTGCTACTTTGCCCAATTCATTTATTAAATCTAGTAGTTTTCTGGTGGAGTCTAGGATTTTCTATGTACAATATCATGTCATCTGTGAATAATGACAGTTTCACTTCCACCTTTCCAGTTCGGGTGCTTTTTATTGTTTCTTTTTGTCTGTTTGCTATGGCTAAGATTTCCAGTACTATGTTGAATAAGAGTGATGAAAGTGCACATCCTTGTCTTGCTCCTGTTCTTAAGGGAAATGTTTTTTTTTTGCCTATTGAGTATGATGTTGGCTATTTGTCATATATGGCCTTTATTATGTTGAGATGTGATGCCTCGATTCCCACTTTGCTGAGTGTTTTTATCAGAAATGTGTGTTGAATTTTGTCAAATGCTTTGTTGACATCTATTAATATGATCATATGACTTTTATCTTTTAGTTTGTTTGTGTGATGTGTCACATTTCTTGATTTGTGAATATTGTACCTTCCTTGCATTCCTGGGATAAATCCCAATCTGTCATGGTGAATAATTTTTTTGATATATTGCTGGATCTGATTTGCTAATATTTTGTTGAGGATTTGGCATCTATATTCATCAGGAATACTGGCATGTAATTTTCTTTTTTTGTAGTGTCTTTATCTGGTTTTAGAATTAGGATTTTGCTGGCTTTATAAAAAGAGCTTGGAAGTCTTTTTTCCACTTGATGTTTTGCAATAGTTTTAGGAGAATGGTCTTAGTTCTTCTTTGAACATTTGGTAAAACTCCCCTGTGAAGCTGTCTGGACCAGGGCTTTTGTTTGCTGGGAGTTTATTGATTGCTGCTTCATTTTCTTAGTTGTTATTGGTCTGTTCAGGTTTTCTGACTCTTTCTGCTTGAGACGTGGAAGATTGTCAGATTCTAAGAATTTGTCTATTTTACCTAGGTTGTCCAATTTGTTGCCATGTAATTGTTCATAATATTTTCTT